CTCCTGCCCTTCTGCACAGTCTTATAGCCAAGGCCTAGTCACATGCCATCTGCATCCCCTAAACCCTGGGTGAGAACCCAGGACCGAGGTTTACGCTGCCCCCCTCACTGGCGCGTTTCCCCACAGGGTAATTATGACCAGTATGTGAAGACACGGCTGGAGCTGGAGGAGAACCAGATGAAGAGGTTTCACTGGGAGCAAGATCAGATTGCGCACATGAAGGTAGGGCAGTTGGGATGTGGGTAGGGCATCCAGGGAGTGGGATGAGGGTTTCGGGAGAGTTTAGGGGTACTGGAGGAGGTCAGGAGGAGGCACATAAGTTTTTACTCTGCTTTTAAGACGAGTTGTTTGATGCCTGCCCATTCTCTAAGCCCCCTTTCTGATCTCTTTCAGAACTACATTGCTAGGTTTGGTCATGGCAGCGCTAAACTGGCCCGGCAGGCCCAGAGCAAGGAGAAGACGCTACAGAAAATGATGGCATCAGGACTGACAGAGAGGGTCGTGAGCGACAAGGTGGGGTCCAATTGGGTGGAGTGAGGTGGCCTAAAGTGAGGTGATTAAGAAAGCACCTAACCTGATAAATGCCCTGTCCTCTTCCTAGACGTTGTCATTTTATTTTCCACCATGTGGCAAGATCCCTCCACCTGTCATTATGGTGCAGAATGTGAGCTTCAAGTATACAAAAGATGGGGTGAGTCTCCTGTGTGGTTGGGAGGCTGGGGTGCATTTTACAAGGTGTCAACTGGCTGGGAGAGTCTTCTGTTCTGTGCTGAGTATACCTCCTAACCCCTGGGCTGTGGGGGATTTTCAGGTGTGGCAGCTGAGGTGCCTTATCCAGGGATTCAGTAGCCCCTCTGACGTAGTTGGGAGGAAGAGTACTCAGCTAGGCCTATGGTGGGGACAGTGGGCTGGAGTCTGCCATGAGAGCTGCCTCCTTCCTCCAGGCACTCAGTAGGGTTGGTCTGCCAGTCAGTTTGATCGGTACTGTGGCCTGGTGTGGGGGATTTTCAGGTGTGGCAGCTGAGGTGCCTTATCCAGGGATTCAGTAGCCCCTCTGACGTAGTTGGGAGGAAGAGTACTCAGCTAGGCCTATGGTGGGGACAGTGGGCTGGAGTCTGCCATGAGAGCTGCCTCCTTCCTCCAGGCACTCAGTAGGGTTGGTCTGCCAGTCATTTTGATCGGTACCGTGGCCTGGTATCCAGCTCTCGCTCGCTCTCTCTCTCTCTCTCTCATCCACCTCAGCCTTGCATCTACAACAATCTAGAATTTGGTATCGACCTTGACACACGAGTGGCTCTGGTAGGGCCCAATGGAGCAGGGAAGTCAACTCTTTTGAAGCTGCTAACTGGAGAGGTATGGTGCCAGATGGGGTGGGACTTCCCAGAGAGAGTACGAGACTGTGTAAGAGAGAGGACACATGCATGGGTCTATTTTTTGTATTTTCAATCAGAGCATTTAGAGTATAGGAACGTCTGTGCATTTACAATGACGCTTTCATTTTAGAAAATATGTGTGGTGCCTATGTTTGAGTCCTTTGTTTTACAGTATGTTGCATGCTGTAGTAGACATTGAGTCACCACTGAGGAGATAGGCTGAACTTCTACTTCAATATATCTTCCTAAATATTTTTTAGGGACCAGAGTAGTAGTCTGTGAGGAAGTTCAGTATAGGAAGGTTCAGTATAGGAAATCGTATGAGGTTTGTTCAGTGTGAACATATGTTTGTTTCCCTGTTCTGCCTGTCTCTGCTTCTGACCGGTTTCCTTTTTTGTGTGCTTGTCTTTCCATTTACTACCTTTTCTAGCTATTACCCACAGATGGGATGATCCGAAAACACTCTCATGTCAAGATAGGGCGATACCATCAGGTATGACAGGCCTGGGGTTGAGGTGGGGGAACTCCCCGGTGTGTGGTAATTGGGCTGCATGTGACCCAGTCGACTCCTACCTGCTTCTCCTTGAACAGGTGGTGCCTGGGTAGAAGGAGTAAGTTACTTGGCAAGTAACCCAGCAGGGTTCTTGGACGTCAGTCAAACCTGGGTGGGTTCCTTTTTTTCCTGTAGCATTTACAAGAGCAGCTGGACTTGGACCTCTCCCCTTTGGAGTACATGATGAAGTGCTATCCAGAGATCAAGGAGAAGGAAGAAATGAGGAAGATCATTGGGCGATATGGTCTCACTGGGAAACAGCAGGTTAGTGGAGGTGGGTGCGGGGAAGAAGCCCAGAAAACTGGGAGACTGGCTGGATGATCAGGGTACTCTGTCCTGGCCACCATTCCCTTTCTTCTGCCCCAGGTTGTTATGTAGTAGAGCAGCAGTTTTCAACCTCTTTCATCTGATGTCACACACAAACTATTAAAATTCTGTGGCATACCAAAAAATATATTTGTTGCCAATTTGACCCCAAAAAAGGTATAATTTTGATACGGGCACACTGGACGGCTATTGTGTTGGCTGTTATCATTTAAAAAAAAATTTTTTTTTTTTTTATTTCAGAGAGGGAGAGATAGAAACATCAGTGATGGGAGATACATTGGTCAGCTGCCTCCTGCATAATCCTTACTGGGGATTGAGCCCACAACCTGGGCATGTGCCCTGACCAGAATTGAACAGTGGCCTCCTGGTTCATGGGTCAATGCCCCAAAACAGAGCCACATGGCCAGGCTGTTGTCATTTTTTTATTTGACAATCTAAGGGAAAAGAGGCCTTTGACTAGTTGGGTATTTCATATTTTAAAAATTTCTGTGGCACACGGTTGAAAATTGCTATAGTAGAGCATTTAGGTCTCTCTATGAGGAAGGGGCAAGCACATCATGCAGTCTCTGAGCCATTGTGCTTGAAGGGCAAGGGAAATTAAATGTAGAAAACAAGTTCGTGGATTCAGGTCTGGACTGAAGGTCCACTGGATTGCTCTGAATCCTAAGGTTTATTTATTTCTTTTTAGAGAGGAAGTGGGGGAGAGAGACAGACAGAAACATTGATATGAGAGAGAATCATCAATTGGCTGCCTCCCACATGCACCCCTACTGCATGTGGGAGGCAGGATCAAACCTGCCACCTGGGTATGTGCCTTGACCAGGAATCAAACCTGCTACCTTTTGGTGTATGGGATGATGCCCAGCCAGGCCAGGGCTGAATCACTAAGATTTAAGTGCTGAGAGTCATGGCCTTGGTAACTGCAGGAGCTTCCGGCTTCCAGATGCATTCCTTAAGGCCTGAGAGACTGATGACTGTGTCACCACCTTGCTGCCTGAACTTGGATGTTCCTGACACCAGCTTTTGTTGAGTGACGGGGAAGACATGAACTGTGCTGTTTGGTGGGGGTAACACTAACTTATATAAATATCACGGTCCTACTCAGGTGAGCCCGATCCGGAACCTGTCTGATGGGCAGAAGTGCCGGGTGTGTCTGGCCTGGCTGGCCTGGCAGAACCCCCACATGCTCTTCTTGGACGAGCCCACCAATCACCTGGATATTGAGACCATTGATGCCCTGGCTGC